AAACTTGTAGTGCAGAGCATTTTGTGTAGAAAAGATTAATATGCTTAACAAGGCTTATGAAGCACTTGACAGACATAATTGTTTGTTGGTCAAAATGATTTAGGTGAATGGAATGCATGTTTAGAATGTATTTTATGTCAGTGTTCATGTTCTGCAATGTGCACACAGCATGTTAGCACTTTCCATGTCAAGCCCCCTTGATATCAAAGAACAGTCAAGTCTTATGCCAACAAAAATGGTGACCCGATGAATTGAAAAAACCTTTCCCAACAATCTTAATAATAATAATAATAATAATAATAATAATAATAATAATAAACTTTGTTTTATATACCACCTTTAAAGGTGGCTTCTCAAAGAATAATCATGCCGGTTAAATAGAAACTTGGCAGACATCATCAACAGACAAAGCTGTATAAAATTTGCACCTGAATAATTGCTATGTTCATTTCTGCACCTGCAATGCATTATAAACTGTCCTCGGAAAAAAAAAAAACAGTCTTGTGCTCCAAAAATTAAAATTAAAAGTTAATTGATCAAACTTTATACTGTTCATACAGTATGATGCTAATACCACCAGAATGAACATATGTGGGAATAGAATTCCTGCACTTCCTTTGTCCTACGTACCATTTGTTCAATTAAAACAAATTCATGAGGAGAATACCATGGGCTTATGATTTACATTGATTCCTGAATAAACCACTGTGGCTGAGCAGCTGCCATTTAATTTTCACACCTCTAGCTATCGAATCTCTCGACCTGTTACCCACTTGAACCAGCTTCAGCCTACTGCAGCGGAAGTCGGCAAATTCCATGGAAAACCAAAGCTGTTTCTGATTCTTCTCCTCCCCTTTAAGCAGCTTGGTAAGTTATGGCCTCTTACACTACTTGCCAATGAGCCACATTATCTTCCTAACTGCCATTTTGTTTGGAAAATTAAAAATCAAAGTCAAAATCAACATTTCATCTCCGTGTTGCCATTTCCTTTCCCCTCGCACAAACTGCTAATGTCAAAATCTTTTTGTTCAATTTGTTTTAAAACTTGATAGGGTATCATTGTAATGTTTGTATGTTTCATTTTTGTTATAAGATCAAAGTAAGCAATTGGTGCGCACAGTGCTTAACAGAAATTTACTTAACCAAAAAAGCTTTTCACTCAACTCAACTCATTTATTTTACTTTGAGACCACGGTTTCAATACAGTGTGGAATACAGAAACATTTTGAACAGTTACACAGCCCTCAGATAAATCTTTCAACTTTTAAGGTCTAATATACAGTATACCACACAAAAGCCTCAACTATTACTAGGATATTAATGTTGATTGATAGAGATTGCCCATTTTAAAAGAGCATCTGAAAATATCATCATTCCCATCTTCGACTAATGTTTCCTGTGAATGTGATCTGGAGGTTAATTACACAATAATTGCCATTTGAGTTGTAAATGGTTACAATAATTTTGCTTGAAGGACCGATAGGAAAATGTCACATTAACATGTAGTAAAACCATTATTTAATTAATCTGCCCTTTCACTGTGGGAATTTATGCCACCATCCTGACAATTGTCTAAAGCAGCAGAAACCGTGCCAGATTTAATGCCTTGGAACAAATCTTTTGTGCAGATGTAGCTGCTGTGTTAACATGTCATACTTAATTCACCATGCAATACAACATTAATGATATAAATATATACAGCCGCCGTTTGCTTGAGGGATGCATTGTGTTTAGGCCTTCATTGGTGTCAAAAATCAATTCTAGTCATACTAATCTGAATGCTGGTGCCTAAGTCCTAATGCCTAGATATGGTTTGTGACATTTTTAAATATAGTGTGCGTTCTGAAAATAAGCTGAATGTGATCACCAGTTTCTCACCTGTTGTTGTAAACAATGATCCTTATAGTAAAAATAAAATTGCATTTTGATTCTTCTTGTGAGTGCTTCTATTTATTTTCTGTTTTTTTTCTGCGTAGAAGTATTCTATTTTGTGATCAGATTTTAATTAGCTGAAATACAGGCACCTTTGCCTTGCAATCCATATCCATTGCTTCTGTTGTAGCGCAGCACTGCTCCTTGGCTTTACACAATTCTGTTCTTTCAAATGTTCCACCAGGGAAATATCCTTGGTTTCAGCATAATAAAGCTTGCTTAAAATATAAAAATCAGGGCTTTATTTTTTATTTTAAATAAAATATTTTAATTTCTATTTATTCCAGGGAAAAGGTAAAACAAGGCAAGAGTGATGCTGGCAACTTTTAAAATGCTTATCTCATTTTATTTTTAATAAGCTTCATTCTTCAGAAGCAAGAGTGAAACTCAAACCAAAGGACAGGAATAGAAACTACGTATAAATGCTTTTTAAACTTTCTTGCACTAAGGATTGTGAAAGTTTCAAATAAGCTACCCAGCCATCCCACAGAAGCTGAGATCTGGCATTTTTCATGAAACAGCTGGACAAAATCCTGGTATCAACAAGTGAGAGGAGCTTGTTCAGAACATTTCTTAGTTCAATAGTTTAAAATGGCTCTTCAAGCACTGCAACCAGAATGCATTATTTATCACTAACATTCCTGCTTATCACTTACCTTTCCAGTGTAAGTTGAACAAGTTGTTGGACAACTCCTGAACCTGCAGGCATGCCATCTCCATTTTCTGTATGTCCAGTCCAATACAGAAGGGCAGACACTCTCCAGCCTCATGCAAAATACAGCCCACTGAATCCAGGTTCACATAACATACAGTAGGTTATCAGGTTCACAAAACCAATAGGTTTTCCGCAACTGTAATACATGCCTAACTTTCTCAGCTAAAATGTCAAGATTTTTTTTTATTACCATAGCATTTAGATTTGGCTGATTTTCATACTGTGAGTGACATAGCAAGTATCTCTAATTTGGGGAATTTTTGTAAGCCAATGTTTCTACGGCGGTGAAGACTTCCTTTCAGGGTATTGATTGTTTAAGGTGCATGAAAGAGGAATGATTTGGAAGACTAGATTAATTCACTAATCTAAGGCATTCATCAGATACAGACTTTCATTAAATTACATTGGTTCAGTATTTGATACTAATACAGTTAGGTTTCAATATTCCTCAGAAGGACTCTACTGAAAGGAAGTCTGAGGTGCTACAATGAACCTGCCTATAACATTGGCAAAGTAACAGAAAAATTATGAGAAAAGTTCTCAAAATGAAAGCAAAATCTGAAGATTTTCCTAGAACTTTCTGCATAATTTGTCACTTGGGAACAGAAAAAGATCCTGAACAATCAACATAACAAGGTTATTCAAAATGTGGACATTTTAATGCATGATAATGTCACTGTACCTACAGTAATATACTGTAGAAAACATTTAAGGCAGACAAATGACAGTCTTTTGGTGCCTCTTGAATACCCAAGACACCCATTTCTTTAATTAGATCGGTTTCTTTCTTAGCAGCCTCAAAATCATTTGATATTAGACTTGCAATTCAGTAGTTTAATTTTTTTAGTTTCTTCACTTACTGTACATCAAAACAGGTTATTTTAAGAGAAATGGGTGGTACCATAATCAAAATAAAAATCAAATCTTCCTTCATTAAGACAGTATGTCAAGTATTTTTTAAAGAAAAAAGCATTTGTATCTTGAAAGCACAGGCAAATATTTAATTCGTACTGGCAAAAATAGTCAAAATAAAGTTGCTTTTTATTACCTTCCTTTAATTATTTAGGTTGCCGTATTAAAAGCCTGATTAAAGGGGAAATTCTATATTGGGATTGCACAGATGGCTATTTTGGCAATTCAGTGTCTAATTATTATTTACCGGACAGAGCCCATTTCTCATTAAATTCTGCAACGCAAGCCAACTGAACAGGGCTGGTGTTTACTTCTGTTTCAAATACTTCAGTACTAAGCTTTTGTCAAAGACTGGACATTTTGTAAGTTGGGGCACGGGTCAGACAATAAATTGTCAATTATCTCGACACACTGCAGTCTCACTGTGGCAGTTCTTTCATTAAAATAAAAGCCAAAGCAAAAAAAGCTACTCATTAACCCCACAAGAGAGTGAAGGGAGCATTGGTGCTATCACCAAAAGTCATTTTAAATGGAGCAGCTTTGTAAAGGCATTTTCAGCCAGATCTACTTGGAATTCATTTATAATCTTTATTCAACATTCTCCGTTCATTAGTTCACAGTCTGTGCTCCCTTGTGTTGTATTATGAATGATAATGGAGTAGTAAATACATAAATCATTAATATATAAATATATCAGAAAAAAAACATCAGTATATTTTTTTTAGAGCCAGGCAGAGAAAAACTAACATTGGCATTAGGAAATGAAAACAAGAGAGGTCTTGAAGAGCTGTGATCTACATGTGTGCACCACCACAAAAAAGAATATGAATAGCATTGTGGGACTTTCTGGTTACAACATCGTGTTAGTCTTCCAATTCTTTAGCCTTTTAAACATTTCATGCTTTTTTCTATTACCTACACGCCCTACAGAACACCAAAGTGGTTACTGTACATGTTGAGGTAGTGGGGGGTTTTTAAAGAACATACAAGCTCAAAGCAGATTTACTGCTTTTCTAAGGGTATCGCTATACAATACTTTCAAAATAATTTATAAATCGATGTGTGAAGCTTTGACTCACTTAAAATATTGTAATCATAACTGATTTTAATTCATTTTTTTCCCATTATTCCTGTTTGCAAAGACAGGAAGAAAGACCTAGTAAAAATATAGCTGGGAATAGACTCTTACACAGACAAAATACTGTTAGAGATAAAATGATATATTTCTTCTTTGGGTAGAAAATGTTCTATTTACAAAGTTATTTAGTCTGAAAATTGTTCCATCAAAAAAGGATCCAAGAAAAAGCTTTTCTGTTGCATTTCAACACCCATATGTTGAACATCAGTTCACTTCTATTTCCACGTGTGTTTTTTATGAATTGCACAAGGACAAAAGTCAATCTATAAGATGTAGTAAAAAATACATTGTCAAACCATTCTATGTGCATTTTATTTACAAGTTTTATACTTGAACAATATTACATTCTTAGAATCTACAATTCATCATCTGCATATTTTTAACATACTGTAATTGAAGTCAACAAATTTGCAAGGTTGGGAAATCTGAAGATTTTTCACTACAGCATGAACAGTAATAAAAACAAGTTGAATGATGTTTAGGAGAGAATAATGCAATGCCTTATTGATAAAACAAGGAAGCCGGCTCATATCACGTGAATGTGATTCTTATATTCAGTTCTTTAAGTTCCCCAAATATTAGCCATATTGTATTCTTCTTTGCTTAGTTATGATGAATGGGCCTTTGGCAGTTCCCATGGCAACAAGGTACAATTTAACGTTCTGCCATGTTGTCAGACTGAGGCACCTCCTATTATAGATTCAGTATAACCACTTTAAAAAGGACAGCCAGGTCCACCTCCTTATTCTGAAGGCATAAGGGTGAGTAAATAACAGTCCACCGAAGGCTATGCAATATCCTTTAAAACACTGTCATTTAGCCTTTCCATGTAGTTTCTTAGCTCTTTGGAATCCCCCAGGTCTATGTCTTGGCAAACCCATTTAATGTCATCATCCTGGGCCAAGATGATAGGATTAATGGACGGGCAGCCATCATCAGGTGGGATTGTAGTAAATGTTGTGAACTTCACGCGCTTTCTTTTCGTCGTGGGTGAATTTAACGACTCGCTTTTGTGGTCTTTTCCATTGGTACCACATCCAGAGTCGGCTGACCGATGCACTTGTCCCTGTACGTTTTTCTGAGCCGACCCACCATTCAGGAGATGGCTCCCTTCCTCAAAGCTGGCCCCTGTGTCAATCATGGTGGTGTGTTCATCCTGCTGTGGGGACATCCCAGGGGGATTCTCAAGAAGCTCTGTCTCATTCCCAAGCCAAACCCAGTCGTGGGCATGGTTCATGGTCTCCTGCCCTTCCATGGGAATTTGCTTGTGTCTGTACTTCAGGGCGTATGAGATACAGTTAATGAGGAATACCAGGATAGCCAGGCAGAACACTCCCAGCAAAGCATACATTCCTATCTCCAAATCGGTCAGGCCTCTCGGCGTTTGCACAAGATCACTGTCCTGCATGTCCTGGTTACGGGGAAGATCCACCTGTGCAGGGAAGTTAGAGAAGTCAATGGGAATGTTTTGGATTTGGCTTCCATCGTCTGAAAGCTTGTCACCATCTGATGTCCTGGTTATGGTGGTCCTGGTGGTTGTAGTAATCCTTCTCAGGAGACTGTCCTCCTGGTCAGAGATTGAACTCCCGTAATAATGCATGTCCATCCCCGTACGATCCTGCACCGCTGGTTTTTGCCGCCGGTCGCTGGCACGGTTCTCCAGCTCCTCTCCATCCACTCCATAGTCACTGCTGCTCGCTTTGGAGCCACTGTCATTCTGGCCAAACTTCACCCTGACACTTCCACTGCCGGAGGCCAGCACGCTTCGCCGTTTCGACTTCTGGCAGGGCTCACAAATGGTCATTTCCACCTTCACCAGAACTCCCTGCCCTTCCCCTTCTGTGACAACCACGGGCCACTTCCACACAGAGTCCTGCTGGACAGACACCACTTTTTCATTCAGGGAAGTGGCTGTGAGGACAAAGTAGTCCGAATTGTAGATATCTAGAGGCGCCATTGAGCCATCGCTAAACTGGATCCAAGCACTGATCACTGCTTCCTGTTGAGAAAATGAATAAAAAGTCACCGCGGAGAACAAAGATTAATTCATTCTTTCATTCTTACAGGATGGGATTGTACAGACATTTCAAAGATTTAACAAAACATATAAAATGTATAAACTCTCAGGTTCTAGTATCATCATTAGAAACTGCAGTGGTCAACAGGCAATATTCATATTTTTAATCTTAAAGAATCTAAAATAACAGCCAGAGTAACAAACTGATTTCTAGCAATATGCGATGTGCACATTAGTGAAAACAGGTAACACACCAATTTTCAATTTGCATAACAATAATCAGTAATTATATGACAATAAGTGATTATCACTACTATTACACTAGTAAAAGAGCTCTAAACCAAACAAACTGAGTTGAATTTCTGAGAACGATTCTTTTTGACATTAAGTCATTTTAAATCTGGGCAGTACAGTGGCACAGTAGTTATGG